AAGCTTAACCCATTACCAGAGCTAAAATCCTCCTTCTCACATATAAAGCCTTAAATGGCCAAGCTCCATCTGATTTGAAAAAAACATTGAAAAAAAAAAAAATTATTTTTAGCAAACTTTATTGATTTCTTGGATGGAGCAAATTTTATTCATCATTAATTTTAGGTCAATTGTTTGTTAATATCCCGAGTACAACTACTAATTAAGATAAATAACTAACTTAGAAGCCAATTAGTTGGTAACTAGCAATGCAGACGGAGGCTGTGAACAACCAAACCTTTTACAGAAATAAATCATGTCTTAGAGGCTGAATGTCACTAGTTGCATTTTTGCATCACACACTGAACAGTTTTAAGAAAAAATAACTTTCATATAAATATAAATATGCTAGTAGTGGTCTAGAATTGACAGCAGAGAAAGTTTAAACCCTAAAGTCTGCCTCTTGACAAAGACTCTTAGCCACTAACTGCCTCCCAGGTGCATGAAGCTGCTCAGATCTCCAACATAGATAGGTTTAATGCAGAGGATACATTTTGTTGTAATTTACCATTAGAGTGACAAAGCAAATTATTCTTATGGAACAATAAGCCATATGTATTCATGCACTGACACCCTTAATATGTGTAGAGTTCATAGTTCTAAGTGCATCAGGAAAGCCAGTTATTGCTGCAAATAGTGCTTTGATGGTGTCAGGCTCAGCTGCAGTTTATGGGAATCTGTCAAACCTGATTGATCTAAAAATAGGTTCATGCCATAAAGTCTGGTGGCTGTGCTCCGGGTCAATGGTCTGTGGGTTGGTGGTGCAGCTCCATCTGAAATGCTTCGACTGCAAGGAATCTAGATGCGGTCAGCAGCTGTGTGGGAAAGGGGACGGCTGGTCCTCGCCATGGTTTGGTCCAGGCCCAGAAACTGCTCTTTAATGATTGAATTTAAAGCTTTAGTTAGGGTTATTTTCTTCTTTCACTTTGCATTGAAAGGAAGTGTTCTTACCTCTCTATGTACAAACACCTTGCCTTTCTGGACTATCAGGGCTGCCTTAGAATGAGGTAAATCCTCTCAGCTGGGTTGCTCATTTCCACATAGATGTTGATCATGGAGTGACCCCAGCAGTATGTAATGGCTCATTGTTTTAGCTCAGCCCTGCTTGTCATTTCCTAAGTAGCAATTGAATGAACTGGCAGTAGCACTTTGAGCGGACGACTCCTTTGTTATATGAACTGTTAAACCGGATCCAATCAGCAGAGGAAGCTGAATTAGCCAGAGCGCTGGACGAATGTTTCTCTGTCTGTATTTATTTCATTTTCTGTCATCTGCCATACGACACAGTTCACTATGTTCACCAGTGTAATTAAACTTATTTCTGTACTGAGTTAAGAAAGGCTGGAAGTAAGGCAGTATAATGCAAACTTTTATTGTGGATTAAGGTGGGATGACCTTCGGCACACTTACAGGCTTACTGTATTTCTCA